TATGATAGATCTAAAAATATACTTTTCTCTATAGATAGAACATTGATAAACCAATACCGATACAATAACTATACATTTCTTTTTTATTTTGGTTGAAAATTGTGTTTATCTTAAATAGGAAATCACATCAGTTTTTCAGAATATTTTTACAATTAATATATTCATAAAAATCTTTCATATTTATAAGAATTTAGAAATGTATCTGTCTATAGTTAGTTTCTAATAATAATGAACCTTATTAAATCACAGAAGAAGGTGGATATTCTTTAGTCATGGAGCTGCTTTGTCATTTTTATTACCCCTCCACTCTTAGCTTGACTAAAAAAACACTGTCAATTCAAATATATTTTGATATAACAAATAAAAAAGCTATCATGTTGATCTTTGTCTTAAACAATAATTTTAAAATGCCTTTTACTTGTTAATTGTTAGACAACATATCAAACTCAAAACATAATACCTTTTGTCCTTTCTTTTTTTCCTTTTCTCTTTCATCTCTTCATCTACAAATATTTATTGAAGAATTAATATATGCCAAGTACAATGGGGAATATTTCAACAATGGAAATTACAGAAAATAAGTATAACCAATACAGAAAATGTTATAATGAGATGTAAAATATAATCCAAAAGCACTTGACCATAAATTATCAGGGCCTAATGTTGTGTTTTGTAAAAAGTCTGTGTGCCACTGGGTGTTAACACAACTAGGGCTCGAACCCTATTTTGTCCTCCTGTAAAGTATTCATCCCCCACCCCCATCTCCCATCACTCAGCACAGTGTTTCACACATACTCCCCATTCAGTAAATGTTTAATTAAATAGAATACACTTAGACTAGTACATACATATAACATGTATGTACTAGTTACATACATGGGGCTCTCTTTAAAATAATTACTCTTAAAAAAATTTTTAGAAGTAATACAGGCTTATTGTACAAAATTTGAAAATCCAGACAAGTCTAAAGAATACAATTTAAATCATTTATATCCCTACCTCCAAGCAATAAATACCATGTATAATTTAATGCCTTTTTTCAAGACTTTTTCTTTACATATTTGGCAAATTACTGTTTTTACATTTATATTTACATATAATATTGCATTCCTCTATTTTCATTTATGTGGTGAACATTTCCTATCTCATTAAATAGTTTGCTATATGGAGAAGTTTAATGGCTACCTAGTATTTTGTCATAAGATTTTAGGATTTGAACACTACGTGATCATTAGACATTTTTTTACAATATTTGTAATTATAAATAATTGCACAACTACAGTCAGTATTACAGATAAATAAACCTTGTTCACTGTCACTGATTATTTTGCTATGGACTATATTTGGGAAAATAGCCACATATAGAGAAAAATACTTGGGAATTTATCAATTACATTATAAATTCCATTTTTCATTTCATCTCATATTTTTTAAAAACTAGAGTAATTATCTACTACCTATTATTAAAAGAAATATACTTTTTAAGAGAACTAATTTAAATATTTTTATATAGCTTTAGTATTCAGAGAAGCAAATAATTTCATTTAAGTTACTAAAGTTATTTTCCACAATGTTTCATATCATACACAGGTGGTTGTTAACAAATGTTTTTTGCAAAGGCAAATAAATATAATTGACAAAATTAAACAGAATAAATCAAGCAATACAGAAAAACCTCAACAAATGAATTATGTTGATAATTACCCCTATTTGAATACAGTACTTAAATTTCAAATCCGTTTCCATAGCATCTTGAAGATCCTCCTGACAAATTTCCTATCAATGAACAAACTCAAATCAAGCTATTGTGAAGTCCGTTCCAATTATTCACTGCTGCCCCAAAACTTAATGGTTTAAAACATCAGTCTATTATTTTCCCTTGTGATGTTTGCAGCTGACGGGCACAGCCAGGTTCTTTCTTGGGATTTCTCGTACACAGGAGTCTTATGATGGCTAAAGCTCGAGTCATTTGAAGGCTTCATCACTCACAAGTCTGGTGCCTGGGCTGGGATGCCTGGAATACCTGGGGACCAGTTGGATCTTCCTCTCTCCATGGGTCTCTCCAGTTGCCTGTCTTGGACTTCCTCACAGAATGGTAGCCTCAGTTTGATCAGACTTTTAACTAGGCAGCTGGGTTTACCCACAAAACATTCCACAAGATTTTGGATGAAGCCGATCAACTGCTTATAACCTTGCCTCAAAAGTCAAGCAATGTCGCTGATGCCATTGTCTTTTGGGTCAAATAGTCAAGGTCTAGCCCAGATTCAAGGAAGTGAAAGAATAGCAGGCTTCACCTTTCAGTAAGGGAATAACCTGCATGTATAGGCAGAAAAGGGAGTGAGGGTGGCCGCAAGGTGCCACAAAGTCCTAACCGGCTTCTTCAGTGTCACCTCTCTACCACATAATTTAAATGTGTCTTTCTCTTACACAGGCTTTTTCTTTTTCTTTTCTTTCTTCAATTGAAATGACTCCCTAGGTTAACAGTACAAGGAGATCAGAACTGAAGGGCTAAATACCAGCTGTACTGTTCACTAGCACAGAGACTCGGCAAATAACGTCTCATTAGAATGGACCCTCCAATACCTACTGCCTAGCATTGCACCTAACATACAATATGGTTGTTGACTAAGTGATTTATTTATCATTTATAGGCTAAACAATCTCTTTGAGATTTGATTATATCCTCTATGAAATAAGGATAATAATGCCCACCCCAGGAACATAGAAATATGTGAACGAGTTAATGTTTACAAAATACTTAACACAATGCCTTAATACAGTACAGAGAGAATATGGTAGCTGTTAGTATTGTTATCACAGTTAATAGTCTTATCATTATTATGTTATCACTAGAGTCGTCCTGTCCCTTCTTATCACTGTCACCGCTCTCTAATACTTGTTAAACACTTCCTTCAGTACCTGGATCTTATTCAGTTGCTCATCTTATCCATAGTCACTGTTTTAATGTTTTGAAAATTCATTCAGGTGACACATCAACCATACTCTTCCCAAAGTACTTGACCTTTTCAGCCCTAGAAATCATATTCTCCACCTCTCTTTGATTAAACACAGATTCTTATTCAAGAATACCCTACAAATTGCTCGATTTTTCTCCTCATAACACAAGTTCTAGTTCTTACATTTTTCCTCATAATAACTTGGTTTCCTTGACTCTTTTTTATTATTCTAGTCTGCCAACACCATTCTGACTTCCCTCGACTCCTCAGTCCACCTTGGATAATAAGCCATACCAGATTTATAAACTCTTAAACCTGAATTCACCCAGTTAACTGCTTTCTCTGGCCTTGGTCCTGGCTTTCCAGCCTAACCTTGCCAAGTCACTTCCACTTCAAAATGATGCTATTGAACCACATTTGAACTGCAATACAATTTCAAAATATTTGCATTTTGTATCTTTTCTCTATTCTCATGTTCTATTCCAGACATTTCCCATCCTTCTCTAACTCCCAGTCCCATTTTCACCCCATCACCTTTCCTTATTGTAGATGATTTTTTTCTTCTTTAATGAAAAAAAAAAAGAGATCCTTCCCAAATGAACTCTCTCAATTGCCCTTAAAAGTATTCTTTCCATATTTATTATTTCTTTCTTCATTTCTCTCAGAGTAAAAACTGCCACTTCTCTACACTTTTGCCCACCATCCCAATATTTTGTCACCTTCTTGATGGAATAGTCCTTGTCTTCTAAGTCTTTGGTCTCTGCTATCTGCTGCTGGTTCTTCTAAGTCTTTTTTTTAAATTTTATTTTAATTTATTTTTTCAAATACATTTGTCTCTGCCAACCCCCCACCACTTTCCCTTGCCCCCTCCCTCCTTCCCTCCCTCAGCTAAGTCTTAATAGAAATGTTAATTTCTCAATCCTTAAAAATGCCATTTGCCCAAAGAGGCTTTTAAACTCTTTCTTCAACTTATTGTCCCTTCCTTCTTGAGATTCTCTACCAAGAGGCCTTTTCTAACCACCTCCATCTCCTTAGCATTTCTTAGCTCCTTATAATTCCAGCTCAAACCTTACTACTCAGACTTTGTAATCACCAAATCCAAACAGCAACTTGCTACACAAGACTAATTCAGAAAATAAAGTACTTAAGGGTGAGTTGTTTTAGTTGAAAATAAAAGCATCCTTGTACCTTGATTTGCCCATATTAGGAAATAGAAGAATGTCAGTAAGAAAACTGATTGCTTTTTAACCAATAAAATGTAAGTACGTATTTTTAAATGCTATAAGAAATCACTATTTTGGAAGTAATAATACAAAGGTATATTTCTCCTCATATTAGATCATGGTTGTTTCTTCAAGTTAGAGTCACTCTTTTATACATCTTTTTCATGATTAAAAGGGAAATAATCTCTGATTCATTGTACTCCCTGCCAAAATAATAATAATAATATAATCACACTTTCTTTTTAACTTCCCACAAATATTTTTATGCCTCATTTTCAGTATTTACCCTTCCTTGTTCTGAACTATGATGACTTCAGAGCCTTTCATATCTCCCCTCTTAGAGCTTAAGTTTCTTGATAGTCACATTACAGTATTTGCACGTTTAGGCTCCCTGAACTTGAAAAGTAGCCCATACACCTATGCCTCCTTAGTAATAATGGGATCAATTTTTGCCTGGCAGTATTGCCTATCACTTTCTGTTGCTATCTCTGTAAGCTGTAATTGATTTCAATAGCCAGAGTTGATATTGACATTTTTATGTTGGTTTCTAATTATTTTTTTCTTTTCCAATAAAATACAATGCTAATTATTAGTTACCTCCAACAAATGTGTTGGAAAAAGTCAAATCTATAATTATGTTAACCCCAGAAATCATAGAAACCAGCTTGCATCCTATCACTTTTTACTTCCAATTTTTATTACTAAAATGTGTATAATTAAGGCAATGACATAGTTTGATTGAATCCTCATGGGAAGTACAATTTCTCATGACTCTTCATATGACTTGAACTTAACTTTATCCACTCTTTTTTGTCTATAGGTCCACCAGGCCCCCCAGGGATAGTGATAGTTGAGGAAATCACTGAAAGCACAGCCACACTCTCCTGGAGCCCAGCAGCTGACAACCACAGCCCCATCTCCTCCTACAACCTACAGGCTCGCAGTCCCTTCTCCCTGGGCTGGCAAACAGTGAAAACAGGTAAGAGGTTCTAAGGCCGTACCAGGTGTAACCAGAGCAGCTTCCTGCCATGAGCTATTTAAGATATTACTATAGATGCTACCCATCTCAGTAGGATCATTCTGGATTCTTGAAACTTCGTTATTTATTATAATATTAACCAGTATTTGTTTCTTTTAATAAGGCTACCTTGCTTTCTCTTCTTCTCAGTTCCCAGGGAGGAACCACATCACTTATATTTGCTGGTTTGCTTATTGAAATAACTTTAGACTCACATAGAAGTTGCAAAAATAACACAGAGATTACCTGTGGACCCAGCCTCCAGCTTCCCCCAATGATAATATTTCATACAACAATGGCACAATTATCAAATCAGAAAGTTGACATTGGTACAATGCCATTAACTAAATTACAGACTATATTCATATTTCACCATTTTTATCCTACTTTATAGTGTACAGTTCTATAAAATTCTATGAAATTGTATTGTATAGATTTAAGTCACCACCAAGATAATCAGAAAACAGCTCCATGGATGCAGTTTCCTGTGCTACCCCTTTAAATCACACATAAAAAAGAAAATCTAACATAAAATCACATTATTTAAAACAATGCATAATTTTTATACATACTTCTAAAATGTTCGAATTATATTTGCATTACTTTTTAAAAAAAACATTTCTCCTCTGATACATGTTTAACTAAACTTCCCCTATCTCTCCAAATGTGGCTGTCTTCAAGGATATGGGACATTACACTCTCTTGATAGTTATTAGAAATTTTTTAACAAGTTGGTGTTTGAGGAGTCTACAGTGTCTACAAAGTAATCTTCAAATGCAGTCGTCTGTATTGAGCAGGGATTTGTCATTTTGTTTTACTGCCTAAATCTAATAGATGTATGTATACCTATATAAACTTTGAATTTTTGGCACAAGCTAGGGACAAATGGGATTGTATATTGGGGGAAGCTCAGGAACTTGAACTAAATGTTCACTTTAGGGTTATTGATTTATTTTAGAAGTCTCCACTATAAAGTTGCACCTGCATCTTTCAAATATAATTTGATTGCTAGAAATATTTTTTAGGTTGGGAGTTGCTTTCTTTTAATTCAGTTCAGCAAGTACTTATTTAAAAATCTATAACTACAATGTGTTTAAAATATTATAGACACTTTTCATAAATATATTTTTGTAAGTGACCGACTTGTTTGCCTTGATAGTAATAGGGCTCTAGCGAGATATCTTTTCACCTAATGAAGTCACTGTTTTTCAAAACCCCAGTATCTCTTGGAGCTACTGGTAGAGATGTGCCACCCTTGAGGCAAACTTGCCAAGGAGCAGTCCTCAGCTTTTCATGCTCTGAAGTAGGTTTTAAATGCATTTTGGTTTTAGACCCTAGTGCAGTCTGACCACAACTTCTATCATGCTCGTGACAGGGAATGAAGTCCCTCCAGGCACATCAGCTCCACTGCAGTGGGCCTTTGGTTTTTATACTTGTTTCCTCACCCAAAACAGCTTCAGTAGAGATAAGTTCTAAGGCATAAATACCAGTTAGAAAAAAAATGATGGGTGTGGAGTTTGAACTCGCTGATAAAGTTAATGCCGTTCGTAAGTTAGTATTTAAAAAGCACAAGATTCCTTCGTACACCAACAAGAAATCAAAGAATTGTGAATTCCTCATTTTTGACAAATGAAGTAATGAGTTGCCTGGGGACCTTCTAGCTGAACACATCTGGAATTAATGTATCAATACTGCCTACCCCAAAATCAGCCTCAAATCAGGTGACTATGAAAGGGGCTAATTTATTCATTTTGAAGAGACTGTGAAAACGACCATAAAAAATAATTTCACAAGTACACTCTTTTTCTGGTCAGATGGCTTTGGTTCATATTATTGAGCAGTATCAGCTGACCTAGTTTTTTACTGTCTGTTTAAGAATACCAAATTATTTAGAATATTAGAAGTTATTTATTCATTTCAAATATGTTTGTTCATTATCTTTCTGTTAGTGGATATATCTTTTCTGTGGATATGTTTTCCACTGAATGATTGGTTGATTAAATTTGTCAGCTAGACAGGCTTATTAGTTTATATGTAATTATTTAATTAAATTCTTAGATGCACTTTTTTTTAACTAGGAAACACATTTTGAAAAGCTTCTCTCCCTGAATCAGTGTGGGATTTTCTACTGTTTTTAGCTGCTGTGTTTCCTCTCTGAAGCAGAATGTTTCCTTTGAAACTGACTTATCTCCATTGTTCCAGAAAGAATATCTTCATAAAATAATACCTTCAAGGCTTTAAAAATACTTACTTTGATATACATTCTCTATTTTCTTTCATCTTCACAATATTGTATCTGAATTCAAAATCCTAATTATTATTAAGAAGTTTGTCTGTTTTATTTCATATTGCATGTTATTTCATCAAAAATATTAATAACTTCAACTCATGCTTTTAATGCTTATTTTATGTCACATACAAGTAGCAATTAATTTAAAATTTCTAAATCTTATTTTTGTTTTTCTTTTTAAAGTGGCATTAGAATTAAGGATGATGAAGAATATGTGGATAAGAGAAGGAGTCTTTAAAATCTATATGGTTAAGACACTGTAAATATAGGTAGCTTTTGGAGGAAGACTATTTTTATATTTTAAATTAATTTTCATTTTTAACATAAAATCTGAATAATTATGTCAAGATTAAAACAGAAACTCTGCCAATTCTGATCATACCTGCCAATCTGAATTCCCCTTTCATTTATTCAATAAAAATTTATTGAGCAGCTTTCTGCTAGTCTTCTAGGCACTAAGAATATATGAGTGAACAAAACAAAACAAAAAATATCTACCCTTGTGAAGACTGTACTTTCATGGATGAGGACAAGCAATAAAGAGAGGGCATGATAAAAAAGAAACTATAAAGTATTTTAGAAGGTCATTAATGAAAAAGTAAACTTTGTATTGTAAGGAGAATCTAAAGTACTGTGGTAGGAACAATGTATTAGTCTGTGCAGGCTGACATAACAAAATACCACAAACGGTGGCTTAAGCAACAGCAATTTATTTTTTTACCATTCTGGAGCCTGTGAATTCCAAGATCTAGGTGCCAGACAATTCAATTTGATTCCTGGTGAGAACTCCCCTCCTGTCTTACATGTAGCAGCCTCCCCGCTGCGTCTTCACATGGCAGACAGCAAGGATTCTAGCTTTCTGCTGTCTCTGCTTATAAGGGCACTAATCAGATCAAGGCCCCAGTCTTATGACTTCATCTGACTTTCATTACTTCCTATTTTTAACATAGCTGGAATCAATGTATGAAAAGATAAGGCTTAGAATATCAATCATACAATGCCTTTCCATTTCTCTCAGGATGAAACCCCCAGTGCTATATGATTTAGTCCTACCATTCTCTTTCCAAACTTATCTTCAACCATTCTCCCTAAAACTCTGCTCCTAACTCACTGATCTTGTCATGTTTCTGTATATATTGCCACTACTGCCTTTGCACTATTTGCTCCTTCAGCCTGGGATGTTTTCTCCAGGATATTGGCATAGTTAAATCTATACTTCCTTTAAAATTTTATTCAAATTTACCCTCTCAGTGAGGCTCACTCTGACCACTTTATTTTACATTTTAAACTGTCTAGAAAGAAAAGGGAATCCTCATGCACTGTTGGTGGGATTGCAAAATGGTGCAGCTACTGTGAAAATCAACAGCACGGTATGGAGGTTCCTCAAAATAATTAAAAATAGAACTACAATTTGACTCAGTGATTCCAATTCTGGGTATTTATCTGGAGAAATCCAAAATACTAATTCAAAAAGACATATGCACTCCTATGTTCATTGCAGCATTATTTACAATAGCCAAGATATGGAAGCAACCTAAGTACCTATCGACAGACGAATAAACTATGTGGTACATACAGTAGAACCTTGGTTCTCAAACTTAATTCAATCCAGACCACTGTTACAAAAGTGATTCATTCAAAAGGAAAATCTCTTTTGTCACCTGAGAGACATATGACTGATCATACAGGTATCAGCATGAAAGGGTTGTCAGGTAGAGAATCACAAACTAAAGTTTTGTTAGACAGCAGAGACATTTTTTTATGAACTACTAGGTTGAGACCAAACTGTTCAAGAATCAAAAATTTGTGAACTAAGGTTTAACTGTACATATAAGTTAATATTATTCAGCCATAGAAAAGAATGAAATCTTTCCATTTGTCACCACATGGATGGTCCTAGAAGGTGTTATGCTAAGTGAAATAAGTCAGACAGAGAAAGGTAAATATCATGTTTTTGCCTAAATGTGGAATATAAAAAACAAAATAAATGAACAAAATAACAGAAATAAACTCATAAATGCAGAGGACATTGTTATGGTTGCCAGATGGTAGGGGAGTAAAGGGAATGGGTGAAAAAGGGGAAGGGATTTAGATGTACAAGTTGCCAGTAATAAAAACAATCACAGGGATGTGAGGTACAGCATAGGGTATGTAGTCAATATTATAATAGCTATGTATAGTGTCAGATGAGTACTAGGCTTATCGGGGATCATTTTATAAGTTATAAGTTATATAAATATTTAATTAGTATGTTGTATACCTGAAACTAATATAATATTGTGTCAACTATGTAAATTTTAAAAATTATTAAAACAAGTAAATAAATAAATTGCAACATGCTTGTTATGGATTGTATGGGGCCTGCCTCTTCCCAAAGTTCAAGTGTTGAAGCCCTAACCCCACTCCCCCGCCCCCAGTGTGACTGTATTTAGAGATGGGACCTCCAAGGTTATGAAGTAAGCAATCGAACAAGGTCGAGCTAAAGTAGGTTTATGGTTATTTGTATGGAACATAATATAACAATTGATAAATTATAATACAGAATAAAATCTGTGTTTCATGTACTTATAACTATAAACCTACTTTTGCCTCACCCTGCATATATGAACCTGGAGTTTAAGAGGGAAATTTAGAGTAAAGATATAAATTGGGAAATTATTGGCATATAAATTGCATTTAAAACTAAGAGACTGTATGTCATCTCCAAGGATATAAGTATAAAATAAAGAAGAATATAAAAATTGAAAGCTGGGGAGTTCCAACAGTAAGAAGCTATGGAGAAGAACAACCAGCCAAAGAATACAGAGAGAATACAACCATTTAATTAAAAGGAAAACCGAGATCATGTGATATACCTCAAGACAGAAGAATAAAGTCTATCAAGAAAGAGAAAGTAATCAACTGTGTCAAATACTGACACCATGTTAAGTGTGATGAGGACTGAGAATTGATCATTGATTTTAGCAACATGGAGATCATTGCTGACTTTGAAAGCAGCAGTTTTAGTAAAATAGTAAGAACTAGAGTCTATAAAAATGGATTCAAGAGATAATGGAAGAGGAATTAATATAATTAAGACATTTTGCTGCAACAGGAATTGGAGAAATCAACATATTTTGAAGTCAGAAATGTTATCATTTTCTTATGGTTGGAGGGAAACAAGGAAAAAAGAAAAGAATTGAGGACAGCCCCAAGGTTTTGGTTATATCTGTAAGAATGCGATTGTTGTACACTGAATAAGGAACAGTGCAGAAGTAGGGGACTTAATATTGAGAACCTTATCCAAAGAGAAATATCTAACAAGCCATTGGGCATATCATTCTGGAGTTTAGGGAAGAGGTTCATTGCTGAAAATATTGGAGGAATCAGCATACAGAGGATATTTAAAACCATGAGACTGGATTAGATCACCATGGAGTAAGAAAATGGTAAATAACTAATAGAATAGGCATGCATCTGGAAGATGAAAAGAAACCAGCAATGGAGACATAAAGATAGGGAGGAAAAAAACAGAAGTCTCGAAAAATATTTCAAACAGAAGAGAATTACCGACTATGTCAAAGGATGATGTTAGGTCAAGGAAAATGAGGAATAGAGACCTGAGCATAGGATTTTAGTAACAGAGCCACAGGTAATCTTGACAAGAGCAGTAAGGGTGGAACGCATGAGGTAAGAGTCCAATTGGAGTAGGCTCAAGAGAGAATGGAAAGGAAAGTAATCTGAGGCAGTAAGCAATAGCACAAACAACCCTGAAGAAGTTTTGTTATAAATGAAACACAGAAACTGGTTGAAGGATGGAAGGATAGGAAATTTTGAGAGAATTTGGTTTGGTTTGGTTTGGTTTGGTTTGGTTTGGTGTGGTTTGGTGGAAAAAAATACCTGCATACTTGTAGTCTGTGGGGGGAAAAATCCATTATAGACTTTTGGTTGTGTCGGGGAGTGGCGAGGGGAGTGGTACAAAGGGGATGCAGCTGAGGACTGGTTACTCTTCTCTAAAATAATAACCCTTGAGAACCATTAGGTTTCCTCAAAGGAAAGTTAGGTTTCCATGAAAATTAAAAGTTGGGAGAATGTTCAGAAAAGAATGAGCATACAGGGAATTTTGCTAATGATGGCTTTTGAATTCCAAAGTTTTCACCAAAAGGACTTCAAAGAGTGATGAAAGATGGAAACTGGAACAGAAAAGAAAATAAGCAGAATTCTATGGAGGTTAGAATAAAAAAGATGAGAGATGGCCTAGAAGTCTGGAGTTGCTTGATGAGACTGACATAAACAAAAGGGATTGACCAAATGATTTTTAGTGTAGATAATGGCAAGTTATATTATGGCAATTAATATATAGAGATGAGATGAAAGAATTCCAATTAACTATAACAAACTTTGACATTTACAAGTGCTTACTTCCTGAAGCTTCATTTTGATGTTACTAATGAGGCCAGAGGTAACACCATGGCCACATATGATAAGGAAGTAATGAAATCTCGTAATGACATGAAATCTCCTGACTCTGCATAGTTCCAGAAATCATAACAGGGGATATGGAGTCAGCCATGGCTGTGGACTTGAACCCCTGGGTGGAATATGAATTTAGAGTGGTTGCCACCAATCCAATTGGGACTGGAGATCCAAGCACCCCATCACGAATGATCCGCACAAACGAAGCAGGTGAGTCGGAATTCTACATGGATGCCACTAACGATTTTGAAAGTAAGTTGAATTAACCATGATTGCTTGCTTTAGTGTATTTTTTCCTAATTCATTTACCTACACATCATAAAACCATTTTAGTTAGAAGAGTTCTTGTTTATTTGTTTTCATTCTCCTTGTTTCTGTAAATGCTTCAATTTCCTCCCAACATTTACAACTATTCATCTTCAAGTTACCATGAAATTGAATTTTTCTTCTTATTGTATATTCGTTAATATAGCAAATCTATAAAATTCAGAATATATTGGTGCACCCTCTTTTTCTCCACTGATAACAGTTACCTTTAAGTACAGAGTCCTTCCTTAAAATTCTGTGTTGCCCTTCACCAGCTTACCTGGTATAAATTAGACCTTGAAAAGACATAGTCTTAACTCAATGCCTTCTTGATATCAGTGTAATATAAAGACCCATCTGTTTCCTGACTTAGAAAACACAGCATTCTTCTTATCTTTTAGAATGATGTATCTCTGATAAAATGTTTCTAGTGATCACAAAAGAGGAATTAAATCATATTTAAAAAATTTAAGATGACTTGCTTATCCCCTGGGTGAAACAGAATAAAAACATTTTTAGTAGATCTTTAATTATTTTGGACAAAGTTTTATTCTGATTAATCTTTTATGCCCTTACAAATTTGGATATAAAAATACCTATTAAGGCACTAGCTTGAGCAAACACAAATGTAAATAATGCTGATGAGAACAATCTGAAAACAATAAAGAAATGGAGGGGTAGATTGTAAATACACAGAGCGGAGGAGAAGCAAAATTTAATGACTTTAAACTCAGTAATAACATATGAATCTCAATAATCATTAGGATATAAGTGCACTGAGAATGAAGATTTTGTCTTATTTGTTGACTGTTGAAGCTCTAACACCTAGCCGGTGTCAGGCACCAGCACTCCATATATCTTTTTTGAAAAATTAAAAGGGAATCTTCCTTTTTTTTTTCTTTGATATGCCCCTAAGCACACCAGTACCTGAGCCAGAGACACATAGAAAACTAAGAGTTAACTGCATCCATTTTATATTATAGTTATAGAATTAAACAAAAAATGTAATTCATGACTTCTTACAGATTAGACAAAGTGTATAATAATTGAAATAAATGATCAAAAAAATTTATTCTTTCTCTAAAACACACTCATTTTGGTCCTTTAAAAAAAGTTTCTCTAAAACACATTGGTTCTTTTTAAAAAGGGGAAAGAAAAACAAAGAATCCCAAATGTTCAGCTTACTGCATTGTGTGAACAACCATATAAAAAATAATCAAAATCTTTCCATGTTAAAATTAAGCAAACAAGAAAATAAGAGATAAATTAGCCTAAATATGATGGAAAAGATTCATTCACAGAAAATCCAACTATTTTGCTTTTGTGATTTGCCTATTACAAGTTGTTATTTTCTGCTACTTTTCAATAGTGTGAGTTTAAAATGAATGTTAAATGCCTGGTTGGATTTTCATGCATTCATAAAATCAGCCATGCTTTCATTGTGTACAGGTGTTCATTAATTAAGAGCAGAACAGGTTAGTCGGTCTTCATTTTATGTACTCACTGCAGATATTGAAATAACTGCCAATATTAGTACTTATGCATACATAATTTCTAAAAAGCTCTGACTTATTTTGCATATTGTTAATTGTGTTTAAACAAAGGCAAAGATCACTGCCTAATTCGGAGGCTCTCTATAAATATTCATTTCAAAAATAAATAATCCATTTGGGGTGAATAATCCTTTGAGGCTTTTTATAGTATAAATCTCCTCTTGCTATTAAAAAGCATTTTAGTAAAAAACACTTACTTTTCCAGCTCAAATGTATTCAGATGATGCGTTTTAAGTTTTCTCTCTCATCTGTTTCTGCATCTACCTTAATCATACAGCCCTTGTCTGTCCATTTTATCAAGTTCTATATACGACATACTTTAGTCCATTAAAATCTTATGGAAGAGAAGACAAATAGCATGAAAAATGCATGAAATACTCTCCTTTGAAAGTGAGTGGAAGAAGGCTTGTACTGCCTACTTTATGTTTCCTGTGATTTGGAACCACACAGGGTTAGAGGTACTAATGGTGTTGAACCAAGTATTGAGTTTTGTGCCTGTTTTGTCAGGCAGCACAGATTAAAAGGGACACCAATGTCCTGAGATGTTCTCTCAAGCGACGCTCTCAGCCTCTATTAAGCGCATGTCCTATATTTTAAAAGGTGATCTTGTTCTAATGGACCACATAAATTTTGAAAATCAACGGTGCTACTTGGAAGAGAAAAGTCTCACATTTGGGATATAGTTGGAAGTTTTATGTTCCTTTAAAACTCTCTTATTTACTAGAATATCCTAAATCCCAAAGCAGCTTTAGTAAGACATTTTTTGCCTTAGAATTGCTTCTTTCCCACACACCAAAAAGTTAATTTTTCTTTGCAATTTCCTCTAAGATATATTTTGAATTTTCCAGTCATCAAAACATGGTTAGTAGTCAATAAATATAAAATAAATTGGTTTGGTCTGACTTTCTATTATTAAGATGTCAAAATAGTAATATAAATATATTTTTATTTTAATGTACATTTATATTTATTTATAGTACAATTTTATTACAAGTTTTAGATAGATGATACATAGATATCGTTGTGTTTTATTTTGGAAATGTGTTTTTTCATCATAACAGCATATAAATTTCAGTTTCATAATGTAAATGCTTTCTCTGTTGTTTAAAAGGATGACATTCAAGAGAAAAACACATTTGAGGATATGAATTTGAAATACATGCTACAGTAGAAATGTAAAAATATATTAAAATGAATACAGCAACAGCAATTCTCTTTTAATTAAACTTTAACATTTTATGTCATGTATGTATAACATAATAATTGAAAGATAAATGAAAAGGAGAAAAGATAGAGTTATAACAATGTGACCTATAAGTTACAAAGATTTGGTCTCCTCTGTAGTATAAAATTTTTATTATTATCAAAGCTCTTGATATATTTCTCAATATTTGAAGTTTTTATTTTAAATCATATTGAATTTTATATACCTATAATTAAGAGTTTGAGGTTCAAAGTTAAGCAGATCTGGACTCATGTTCTTCTCTGCCACTTACTTGCAAACATAGGTAAGATACATACATTGTTTTTAGGCTCAACTTTCTTAGTTATAAAATGGGGATAATAGCCCTACCTACTTCTTTGGATCATTGTATTAAATAAGATAATACATGTAAAGAGCTTAGCATAATTCCTGGCACATGGTAAATGCTTAATATTAACCACTTATTGTTAGCGTTGATTTTTCTTGAGTTATTACTCTATTAAGTAGAAATTTAAACCATAGAAATTAAGCATAAGTTGCTTTTATCTATTAAAGAAACATTTTCAGGTTAAACATATGTTTGTCGGTAGAGTTAGAGCCATCCAATCTCTTGGCTTGCAGCTGGCTCTTCTGAAACACTATCCCAGTGAGAAGTCTCTGCTGCAGACCACGCGCCATTACTCCTGGCCACATGACCCGCCTGAAGGGCTTGGGAGTCAAGCAAACCTTTCAGAGTGTGGTGCACAGTTCAGAGCATCCTCTCCTTTAAATCCCCATGTCTGACCTTTCCAGGGTCTCAGTTTATATGTGGATTGCGATAGTGTCCCAACAAGTAGACATTTTCCTTGGCTCTGAAAGCACAGGTAAGAAAAAAGGAGCAAAGAAAAAGATGGATCAATTGAAACATCATGCTTTAAAAAAGTTTGTTCCACACTCAAATAGTTTTCAAGTTGCTTAGTATACCATATTCTGTCTTACAAATTCTCTTTTGACGATGAAATGGAAAATGTCACACACGTTTCTGGTCACAAAAGGAGAAATATCTTTTTCTACATTTAAGAGATTAATATTCAGTCAGATGAATATGAGTATCAAGTAGACAAACAGATGAAAATTTTTCTCAGCCTTAGCACTTTCTGCACTATATTATTGTTGTATAACTGGTTTACTAAACAGACTGAGCTCCGTAGAGTTTAAACATAAAATATCTTTCTCTTTCTCTTGCCATGGCTCTCCAGTGTGCCCCATCTGGTTTCTGGCTTTAGCCTCAACTATACCACAACATGGTACTAGGTACTAGTGCAGTCTCACCCTCAGGTTTTAAAATTTTTTATCTTTATTTAAATAAAAACTTTAACTTCCAATGCCATGTTTTTCTCCCTCCAACTCAGAACAGGTGTGACCAAAGGTGTTTACCTGTCCTTTATGTTTTTTCTTTCCACTTCCTTCCCCCATCTTCTACATGCTGCTCTGCACACTTTCCAACTCAGACAAAAAGACAAGGAAAAACTGCTGAGGTGGTAGAATTTGTAGTTTTCACATGTCTGTTGAGCATTCCATACGATGGTATTTGTCCACAAGATGTTTCTTCACCTTGGATGCCTCAGATACTTTGGAGACTCTCCTGTTCCATAGAAGACAGCCCTACTGAGTGTGATCCCAACAAGCCCATTCAAGCCCACCTCCCATAAATGTCCACTTGAGCCACAGTAATTATTTCACATTCCTGTGCTGCCAGTTCTAGAAATACACAGTGTTCTCAAAAACTAATTTGCTCTCTGCTCTAGTGACATTGTGTGGGGCTGAGCCAACGCACAAAATTCTGAGCTCCACGGCATCAGCCAGTATGTGGGAGTGACCTTCTGTACCCTCTGCAGCAGTTGTTTTGCCTCTCCCCTCACTTGGCTTGAGGGGAAATGATACTCCCTCTCCTCTTCTACAGACTACCACATGGGTGCAGGGAGCTGCGACAGCACATTCACCTGCTCACTGACAACCTTCTTCAACACATTCCTTTTGCTAAAATCATATATATATTTATGATTTGGAGAGGGGTAATAGGAAAGGGTCATGAAATTTTGTTTCTCTATTTCTGAGCAATTCTATGGACTCATTTAGTCCCCCTTACTTTAGCACCTGAAGTTACC